TTACTGACACTTGTAGAGAATTTACTGTATTTTCTTTTAGAAACTGTGAATATCGTTTTGTAGACCAGTGATTTTTTAACATTGTAACGAGAGAGATTCTCGTGGATCCCGATGACGATTCGGGACTTCGGTGCTCTTTTGTCTATGGCGTAAGCAATGCCCGCGCGTGCGGGCGTTAGTGTTTCGTTAGACGGTTAGAGCCTTTGTCCAGACCATTGCGAATACCCGAGCGCGTCTCCGATATTAACAATTGTGAGAAAATCCGTCCCGAAGACGGTGAAGCGAGCATCTTGAAGCCAGGCCCAGCGCGCTTGGTGGGGGTGACTCCGCCCCTTTGGGTCTCTCCCTGGGCCTGTTCGCGTAGGGGTGGACAGGGATCGGCAGGACGACGCGTCCACACTCTTCACGAGACCGTTGAACGTGTACTTTTTGCGAACTACGCTCAGACAACGCGGAAATAGACTTTGAATAACATATACTATTGTAAAAACGTAGACACGTTCAAGTAATTTCACGCCCACCATACTCCGTGTCAGAGTACTTTCTGACACAACAAACATTTTTTATCTCATGGCACATATTAACTAATTATTGAAATTTTGTGACATACCAAAAGATATTAAGCTTATGCACAAGTTTTTAGAGTATTTTTGTGGAGAATGTGTATTTCTTTTTTTATTGTATTTATAATTAGTCATATTATTAAAATAATAGTACCGTGGTGCCCCGAGTTACGGTGACATACCAAAAGATATTAAGCTTATGCACAAGTTTTTAGAGTATTTTTGTGGAGAATGTGTATTTCTTTTTTTATTGTATTTATAATTAGTCGTTATTAAAATAATAGTACCGTGGTGCCCCGAGTTACATCGTTTCTACACAATTCGATAGTCAATTGTTTTTAACTGATATTTCACGCTCCACGTGTTTCGTTCTTACTGAAACAGTCTGGAAACTTTAAATGTGATCCCTTCTATCATTTCTATAAATTTTAAAGAAAATGTAACCCCTAATCTGATAAATAAATGTATATACAGTGACCGAAAAAAGTATTCATACACCCTGTAAAATGGAATAACTTTTTTAAAATTGGGCCGAACGACTTGAGTTTTTTTGAGAAGTTAGAAAGATTAGTTTACTAGATGACGTGTAAAAAATTTTTGAAAAAACTGCAATTAGTAGGAATCGCGAAGAAAATAGCGAAGGTCGTTTTTACAACTTTTTTATCTGAGCTCGTAACGAAAATTTAAAAAACACGTTTTGTAGATCTATGTCGATTATACACACGCTGAAAATTTCATCGTAATCGGTGGATGGAGAAACAAGCGACAGGCATCGAAAGATGTAAGAATCTTCAGATTTATTAGTGAAATATTGAAATAGTGCAATTTTCACAATCTTTAACCGTTTATAGCTCATAGCAACATTAACCGATTTCGATGAAATTTTCAGCGTGTGTATAATTGACACAGATCTGTAAACCGTATTTTTTAAATTTTCATTACGAGCTCAGATAAAAAACTTGTAAAAACGGCCTTCGCTATTTTCTTCACGATTCCAACTAATTGCAGTTTTTTCATAAATTTTTTGACACGTCATCTAGTAAACTAATCTTACTAGATGACGACGATTCCAACTAATTGCAGTTTTTTCATAAATTTTTTGACACGTCATCTAGTAAACTAATCTTTCTAACTTCGCAAAAAAACTCAAGTCTTTTGGCCCAATTTTAAAAAAGTTATTCCATTTTACAGGGTGTATGAATACTTTTTTTGGTCACTGTGTACCCCGACTTACGTCTTTTTCGACTTACGTCGCCCACTCTGGAATAAGTCTGGGGCCCCATTGTAATACAATATCAGTACTATATAGTTATTATCCAAAATATCAACTGTGAATATTTAGAAAAGAAAAGAGACACAGTGCTTTGCAGTGTCATTGATTTACAAGCGATGGAAACTTTTGCATACACCTAATATATTTTATTTTTTCATCAATTTGACAGAGTATACATTTTTGACTGATTTTTGAAAAAGATAATATTTTTTTCCATTACTCTTTTACCTTGTATTAAAAAATCTTGGACTCGCAGGTTAAAAATCGCCAATGTAACTCAACTTAGAAGTTAATGGGACTTAAGATAAATAAATAAAATGATTATTGATGATTATTTTTCACACTTTTTCGAGGTAAAAAGTGCGATTTAAAATAATTAAATAAAAAAACAAAACATTCATGTTGCTTAGAAGAATTTTATCTTTCGCATTTTTCAACGCAAGCTCAGTTCTGTCTTAACGAAAAAAATTAATTAGAATTACTAACAGAAATTCGCGGGAGAAGCTATTATTCTCGTTAAATTTTCACGCAAATTGGCGAGAATTAAGGCTAAAGGTTTCACCTAGAAATACTTCCTTTTTTATCCACTCTTGTCCGCGAATTTGCATGGTGCATCCACGTCGTCGTGTCACCTCGTTAAACTTTATTCACTTCGTGCCGTCACCTTTTCATATTATATTGACCTTTTGGAAAATGCCAACGGGAGAAATAGAAATTTACTCATGAAAGTCCTCGGCTCCCTATCTAATTCTGTCTTGTCTCGCATTAGCAATAATTCTGTGAACTTTATTACGCGCTTTATCTCGCCTCGAGTAAGCAGCTGAGAAGACCTTTGGAACTTTTTTAGAAAAGTAGTAAGCAAGCTTTTGCGAGGTGATTGTTGTAGCGTTTTGCTGTGATCTTTCAGTTTCCCTAGAATTTCAACCTTTTCCCCTCTCTCTCTCTCTCTCGGTTCTGTGTCTGGTGAATAAAATTCTCGCGTAAAAACGTAATTGTGCACAATAACGTTTCTGTTGTTCTCCTCTGGTCGTCTGGTGTAATTGAAGTGGCTAAAAATAATCGGGAAACCTCGGCGTTATCTGCTTTTTCCCCACCGTGTGAAATCCATCAGGAATTTTCTTCTTCACTTCGACTTTTCGTCGTTTCGCTTTCGAGAGAGTGCTAATTGTGATCGTGATCTTCATTGTGTCGTACTCACTTGTATTGTGCGATGGGAAAGAGATTATGTATGTATCTATGGAATTTCTGGTAAGATCGAATTTTGTAATTTTGCATTTTAACGCTGTTGTGTAGGTTTGATGAAATTCGTTACACGAAGACAGGATTAACCTTTTCGCTACGGCGCGCTTGTGACAAAATATGATCGCTATGAACGGAGCGCATTACTGACTAGTCGGCACTGAGGTACATTTCATATCTGATTTTTCTTTCCCATATGTTTCCAATATCTGTCTTATAAGATTTAAATGAAATTTGGCAAACGATAATTTTGTCGCAAAAACAAAAAAGAAAGAAAAGTATATATGGTATGAACGTATATGTACGCTCTTCGTACCCGAGCGCCCACTTTTCGAGAGCGTATATATACGCTCTTCGTATATGAATGTTCATTCTTCGAGGGCGTATATATACGCCCTTCGGAGCGAAAGGGTTAAGTTTAATAGAAGGCGGGGTAAAGTCTTTCTTAGCCCTTTAATTAAGGCCGACATTGTTCTTCTCTTGCTGTTCCTTTGATTCGATGAAACATTAATATAGATTGTTTTTATAAATTAGAGGATTTTAGTTCTTTTTTCTTTTTAGATGTCAATTTCATTAATTTTATTAGAAGATACTACGTAACTCATTATTTCTGTGATTCACTCAAAGTGAATTTTCAATAGCAGTTCTTTTTTAGAAATAAATTTTTTTTTATTTGTAGTATTTGTTTAGATACGTAAATTTCATAGGAATTTTATTAATTCTGTGCCAGAGTGCGAGATGATACTGACACTACATAATTCATTATTTTTGTAATTCATTGAAAATAAATTTTCAATAGTAGTTTCGTTTGTAGAAATAAATTTTTTTCTATTTATAGTATTTGTTTAAATATATCAGTTTCGTGGGAATTCTATTAGCTCAGTGCTTACTAGGATACGAGATGATACTTCTTTTATTGTCCCACGTAGTTTCATTTCATCATTCTTACTCTTCCACGAGATCTTCAATTTTTATTTAATTTCATCTTATTCCTCGTAGCAATTGAGCACACTTTCGACCTCGACTTCATACTCCTTATAGCGAATGGGAATGAAATAATTCATATCAGAGCTTCAGAGCAAGGTCTTCTCGTTTCTATTTGCTGTTATTATTCTCATTGATGTGTATCTTTAGTCTAGTTACTCGAAGAACATCTTTCAAGAAGTGCATACTTTGGTATATTTTGAAACTTTCACGATGTATATTCATAGAAATACTGTTTCATCTGTGTACTTTGTGACAAGTACTTTAATTTAACACTTTTTCATTTTTGTAAAAGTAGTAGATACCTATAGTGTATCAGAAATTTTATTATGTATTAAAGAATTAAAAGTTTACAATACTTTGAATGGTTTTTTAATTAAGTATTTAAATAATTTATCATCGCTGTGTGAGGGCGATGATTATGCAAAGTTTAACGAATCAGCTGCACATTGTCGCGCAGATTAGCGCGATAATTATTCCGTGATAATTAATTTTCTGAGCGTAATGCACCGTGACCTTTTGTAACGTAACGTAAATTGGCACGTTATATGTATATGTGGAAAAAGTTTCAGAGCGTGTAACTTTAATTGCAGGGAAAGTGCACGTGGGCGGGAACAGGTGGACGACGAGTCACCCTGCAGGACACTTCGCTAAGGTCACTGTCAGAAATCGAGAGAAAGGTCCTGTGCAAGGTGGCAGTCGCGAAACTTCAGGCCCTCAACCTAGGTGTTCATATTAGGCCACCGAGCGGTGAGTTTCTTTGCTATAACTTTTATATCTTTTGTACTTGAATATTTGTGAGTTTGAAGACTTGAGTACTTGAAAATGTGAAAATTAGGAAATTCGGAACTTTGGAAGTTTGACAATTTAGAAATTTGGAAGTTTGGAAGTGTGAAAATTTGGAAATTTGAAAGTTTGAAAGTGTGAAACTTTGAAAGTTCGAAAATTTGGATATTTGAAAGTGTGAAGCTTTGAAAATTTGGATATTTGAAAGGTTGAAAGTTTTAAAGTTCGGAAATTTGGAAATTTGGATGTTTGAAAGTGTGAAACTTTGAAAAGTTGAAATTTTGAAAATTGGGAAATTTAAAAATTTGGATGTTTGAAAGTGTGAAACTTTGAAAATTTGGAAATTTGAAAGTTCGAAAATTTGGATGTTTGAAAGTGTGAAGTTTTGAAAATTTGGAAATTTGAAAGGTTGAAAGTTTTAAAATTGGGAAATTTAGAAATTTGGATGTTTGAAAGTGTGAAACTTTGAAAATTTGAAACTTCGAAAGTTCGAAAATTTGGATGTTTGAAAGTGTGAAGCTTTGAAAATTTGAAAATTTGAAAGGTTGAAAGTTTTAAAATTGGGAAATTTAGAAATTTGGATGTTTGAAAGTGTGAAACTTTGAAAATTTGGAAATTAACAGTTCCTCCCCTTACATCTCATAGTATCATACCGCGATAAAAGCAAAAGAATCCCGCGTAAGTCAGACCGATCAATGTTTTTTATTTTCCCCCGAGAAAATTGGTGCCTTGATCCAACGTCGAGGATGAAATCTCAACTGGCTTTCCGGATGATTGACGTGTTTACGAGCGTAGGGTGTAACTTCAACGTCGAAGTATCTTCTTTCCCGACGAATCACGTGCTCACTCTCTTCAAGATTATTAAATATCGCTTACGAAGCTCTCAAGAAATCTTTAAGAACATTTTATTACCGCTTCCATACGAGTTGCTCATACATAGTAATGAACACTCGAAGACATCCATTTCTCCTAATAGTCCAAGAGGCCATAGAATATTCATCGTAGTTATAAACTCGTTGAAGAGTTAATTTGACTGCATCAAAAATTTTAATCATAACTGAATGAATTTTTATTCCATTCAATTTAACTTATAACTACGTGAAATTTTCTATTCAATTAAAACTTTATTTCAATTTCAATTTACTCTTCCATCGAGCTTCACAATTGTAAACATTTCGTATGACAAATTTTAATTGTTCCAACATAAAACTTTATCCATATTTAATATTGAAATATGAAAAAATGGTGTCTGATAATACTGTATTATCCATGTCGATGAATTATGGCGTATTAAAGGATAATCAATTCTAAGTGATTAAACTCACCCTGTATTTTAACTTAAAATATGAAAAAATGGTGTCTGATAATACTATATCATCCATGTATATGAATTATGGCATATTAAATGATACTCAATTCTAAGCGATTAAACTCACCTTGTATTTTAAATTAAAATATAGAAAAATAGTGTCTGATAATATTATACTATATCATCTATGTAAATGAATTATGGCATATTAGCCCTTTGCGGTCGTATGTCTGCTCTCAGCCACCGAAGCACTTATATCACACCATGGAGAAATTTAAATATAATTTTTGTATAAAATGAAACCACGTGTTATTGTGTTAAACATACGTAAAGTAGAAAAAAGTAAAGAAGAAATAATAAAAATGACGAAGTAAAATAATAGAAAAATAATACAAATGATAATCTTGCATTACATTATCAGTGTTCGTTGCCTGAGCTAAACACGACCGCAAAGGGTTAAATGATACTCAATTCTAAGTGATTAAAATCACCCTGTATTTTAACTTAAAACATGGAAAAATGATGTCTGATAATACTATATTTTCCATGTAAATGAATTATGGCGTATTAAAGGATACTCAATTCTAAGTGATTAAAATCACCCTGTATTTTAACTTAAAACATATTAAAATGATGTCTGATAATACTATATTTTCCATGTAAATGAATTATGGAGTATTAAATGATACTCAATTCTAAGTGATTAAACTCATTCTGTATTTCAAATTAGAACATGGAAAAACAATGTCTGACAGTACCATACTGTCCTCATAAATCCATATTAGAAGATCATTAATTATACAGAATTAATTAAACTCAGACTAAAGTACGTCACTTAAGAACCACCCTGTACGTTTCGCAATAAGGTAGGCGAATTTTTTGCGGTGCACTCCGGTGTGGTCATTGACGTTACTCAACAATCAAGAAGGGATCGCGTTTCATCGAGCTCCATTTCCTCGTATTCGTTCTGCGTTCCTTTGTTCCACTTCCGTATCCAGGCGGAAGTGAACGAATGAAACCACAACAGAGAGAAAGAGTCTGCGAAGAATTTCTTCTTCGAGCTTGCGTCTAACGTAGCTAATCAAAAGTTATCGATACCCGTGAATAATGAAAATTGTCGCTTTCCATGTTCAACGTACGGCAACAGGTTTTTAATCATTGTTTTTCTTTCTGCTTTCTTTCGTTGCAGAATCGCTCGGTAGCAGTGCCGTTGTTACGAAGCCGAAGAGGAGAGCTCCTCTGCTGAAGAGGAAAGCTCTTACCACCGGTTTCTTCGACAATAAGGGAAAGGACGACAAGGAAAAGGGTAAGTCGAAGGCATAGAAGCTTGTCAATTCTGTGATTTCGCTCGAGTACTCTTCTGAGAGAGAATTTAGCCGAAGGGAGAACAGACAAGTTACCCTCGAAATGCTTTGTTTTCCGTTTAATTGTTACGAAGAACTGCCGTTTTGCGTTGAATTAATTTTTTGTTATTTATTTTTTTCTATCTTTTGACATCGTATTTGCTATTTGAGATATAGTTTAGCCTTTCTTTCCACATCTTAAGTTTCAGTTTTGACTTCGTCAGTTTCATTTTTAATGCCAATTTTTTCTTTCAACTTTTCACATCGTAAGTTTCAATTTGGGCAACCAAAATGTTCACGGTTGTTTCAAGCTTTAATATTTAAATAGTTTGCATAAATCTCGATTTTGGAAACGTATACCTATCGACGTGAAGATGTTCAAAAAATGGTGATTCGGGGTGATTTCACGATACTTTCACAGGAAAATATAAAAATGGGTACCAGAGTACTCGGTTACCTGCACAAGGGTTAAGGTATTATTCTTTCTCCTTTCTTTTCACATCATAAGTTTCAATTTTGACACTCTAAGTTTCAATTTTTAAATTTTATCTGCTATGTGATTATTACAAAGAACTGCCAATTTTGTTTTTAATCAATTCTTCACTACTTATCTTTTAATGCCAATTTTTTTTCCATTTTTGACCTTCATAAGTTTCAATTTTAACATTTCATTCGCAATTTAAAATACACCACATAACGTTACGTTCAACACTACGACACATTCTCTCGCAGAAAATCGAATAAGAAAGACAGAAGCGTTGTCTCTGAAAAACAAAGCGTGGTTTCTATGGAAAGTCTCGAAAAGAACAGATACAAGGTATCACAATGTGCGACTTCTGTTTGGGCTTCTGTTCGACTTCATAGTGTTCCATTGTGACGAGAAACAGATTTTCTTAATCGGTAGCTTACACACATTCTCCCCCCTGAATCTGATATATTACGTACACCTCCTGCGTGGATAAAAGTTGAACAATATCTCTCCTCCTTGTTATTCACAATTACCAAAAAAAAAAAAAAAAACAAAAATTCACGATCAACAAAATCCCACGTTCTTCTTATTTTTACCATAGGAAACGAACGTCTCTCGATGGTTGTTGGAATTTTTCAACGATTCGCCACACCACCCACATCGTACAAACTTCTACCAGCAATAGAAATTCACTCATAGATAAAGTCAATAATTAAACCCGGTGAATTAAGTGCGCAGTTTAATGTGCGGAAAGCGGCACAGTTAACGATCAGAGATTTATGAGGCGTTTATTTGTTTGGAGAATAACTAGTTCAGCTATTTTCAGGTGCGATTCTGTTTGCAAAAGTTCGATAGGTAGTGCTTCTATCATTTTATGCGTTTACGACACAATCCCTCTACTTATACACGTATTTTGATCGAACCGAGTCATAGCAAAGACAAATATTATCTTTGGGACAGATTTCAGCTGTTCTCTCTTCTTCCCTCTGCCTCCTCCTCGTTTCGAATTCCATCGTTGATAATTGCGTAAATTGAGTATAAAGATTCTTTGAGACAGATTTCACCTGTTTTCTTCTTGTCTCTCTTTCTTTCGAATTTCATCGTTAATAATTGCGTAAATTGAGGATAAAAACTTTTGGGACAGATTTCGGCTGTTCTCTTCTTGTCTCTCCTTCTTTTCTCTCCTTAATTTCGAATTCCATCGTTGATAATTGCGTAAATTTAGTATAAAAATTCTTTGAGACAGATTTCACCTGTTTTCTTCTTGTCTCTCTTTCTTTCGAATTTCATCGTTAATAATTGCGTAAATTGAGGATAAAAAATTTTTTGGGACAGATTTCGGCTGTTCTCTTCTTGTCTCTCCCTCTTTTCTCTCCTTAATTTCGAATTCCATCGTTGATAATTGCGTAAATTGAGTATAAAGATTCTTTGGGACAGATTTCACCTATTTTCTTCTTGTCTCTCCTTCTTTCGAATTTCATCGTTGATAATTGCATAAATTGAGTATAAAAATTCTTTGGGACAGATTTCGGCTGTTCTCTTCTTGTCTCTCCTTCTTTTCTCTCCTTAATTTCGAATTCCATCGTTGATAATTGCATAAATTGAGTATAAAAATTCTTTGGGACAGATTTCGGCTGTTCTTTTCTTGTCTCTCCCTCTTTTCTCTCCTTAATTTCGAATTCCATCGTTGATAATTGCGTAAATTGAGTATAAAGATTCTTTGGGACAGATTTCACCTCTTTTCTTCTTGTCTCTCCTTTTTTCGAATTCCATCGTTGATAATTGCGTAAATTGAGTACAAAGAATTCTTCGTGACACATTTCACCTGTGCTCCATCCTGAATTCCATCGTTAATAATTATGTAAATTGAGTATAAAAAGATTCTTCCCCTTCGCGGTTATAAATTGTACATATCTGAAAAATCTCTTTTATCTTTCTCTGCGAGAAGTTTCTTGACAGTTCAATTTAAAGGTAGCTTCAACAGGTAGAAATACATTTTCCCACTTATACTCGTTCCAATGGAAATTTGTTTTTTCTCGTTCGTAATTGTATGTTGTTTCTATTTTGCGTCTTTTAATTATATTCTATTCAAGGTAACATGTTGCACAGGTAGTATTGTATCGCGTTGTTTTCTATTTTTTCACTGTTCCATATTAGCTAGCTTACGCACACCGCGTGTGGGTGTTTCATTCTCATTTGCAGAACACTATTTGTGAAGCACTCGCGGGATGACGTTTTGAATAAAAACTGCACGTGATATTGGAGCGAACGCTGAATAAGGCCTGACGTTCGCATAATCGCGGAATGATTCTGTCGTTCGATGACGCACGCGTGTTTCAACAATTGCTAATTTTTGTGTTGAATCTACGTTCCGGCTTTTGTCTGAAATGCTTGTGTAATGGATACTTCGTTTCTGTATGTGAAATATTTTTTGAAATTTATTTTTTTAATATTTTTTGAATAAAGACGTTCTGCACAAGTTAAGGAAATTAGGAAATCAGGGGATAAACGGGGAAGGAAATTAGGAATCAACCTTGGAAATTTAATTTCAACTGTTGTTAATTGAAAATTATTTTCTTGCTATTTTAAAGCACTACGAAGCATCACAATATCGAATGCAAGTGGAACACTCGATTAGAATTAAACAGAACCATCGTTGACATTTGGAAAATTCGTCAAATTTCAAATTTTCTGAACGAGGATATTATTTTGATTTTAGACAAATTGGAAAGCTCAAATTCCTTCACATTTCTGGCCCATCAGTTAACCCTGAAAATTAAATCTCAACTATCCTCAATTAAAAATTATTTCTACCCTACTGTGAAACACTAATAATGAGAAACATCGCGATATCGAATGCAAGTGAAACACTCTTGGAATTAGATCAGTTTTCACAATTAAAAACAGTCTAAATTAAATAGAACATCGTTACCATTTGTAATATTCTCGAAATTTCAAATTTTCTGTATAAAAACGTTCTCCTTAATTTACTCAAATTAAAAAGCTCAAATTCCTTCACATTTCTATCTCACGTAAATAATTCTATATTCATCGATCAACCCTAAATATTAAATCTCAACTGTGTCTTCAATTAAAAATTATTTTCTTGCAATTTGAAAACACTAAGAAGCATCACAATATCGAATGCAAGTGAAACACTCCTACAGTTAAATATCGACGTCGCGTGACAGTCCAAATTAAATAGAACATCATTACTATTTGCAATATTCTCCAAATTTCATATTTTTCATTAAACAGGTTCTCCTTATTGTAGTTTAAATCAGAAGATTTACTTAAATATAGTTAAATTCACATCTCTGCCCCTTCTAAATAATTCTGTCTCATCAACGAACTCTGAAAATTGAATCTAAACTGTGTCTTCAATTTAAAATGTATTTTCTTTCCATTTCAAAACACTAAGAAGCATCACAATATCGAATACAAGTGAAAACACTCGTGGAAGGAAATCCTGACAACGCGTGACAGTCGAAATTCTCGATGTTCCACTGGTTGATCACTTTGTCACGCGCGAGAAGCATTGCGCACAGTCGTTGAACAATTATTCTCGACTCTCCGTCGTCTGGAGAGACGGCTGGAAGGGAAAAGCCAGCAGCTTACCCATGTGCGAACACCAGGCTGCGGCAACAGCATCGGCCAGCCTGGTATGAGACACAATTTCGCCGGTTAAAATTAGCCACGGGGTGCTTGGTGGCGGTGCATATTTCCGCATATACCAGGTTTATTTGCGGTTCGCGCCGGGTACGAGTGCCGTGGGGACACCGGACGTCAATCGGGAACTGGAATGGCCCTGCACCGGGGTCGCGTGCTTCGGACTCACCCCTTTGAGCCACCCTTTCGGTTCTTTTATGAGGTTGTATTTGACTTCGTAGAGTTCGAGTTTCAGAGGTGAATGGGTTTGAGGTGTGAAGTGGTAGATTAGGGGGTGGCATTCGGGTGTTCGTTTTAATTGGATAGGGTTTTCTGGAAATTTTGAGATTTTTGGTACGTTGGGAATGTTGAGATTTTGGAAACTTGGACATTTGAGAGTATGAACATTTGGAAGTTTGAGAGTTTGAAAGTTTGAAAATTTGAAACTTTGGGAGTTTGAGAGTTTGAAAATTTGAAACTTTGAGAGTTTGAAAATTTAAAACTTTGAGAGTTTGAGACTTTGAGAGTTTGAAACTTTGGAAGCTTGAAACTTTGAAAGTTTGAGAGTTTGAAAATTTGGAGGTTTGACAGTTTGAAAGTTTGAAAATTTGAGACTTTGAGAGTTTGAAAGTTTGAAAATTTGAAACTTTGGGAGTTTCAGAGTTTGAAATTTTGAAGGTTTGAAAATTTGAAACTTTGAGAGTTTGAAAATTTGAAACTTTGAGAGTTTAAAATTTTGAAACTTTGGAGGTTTGAAAATTTGAAATTTTGAGAGTTTGAGACTTTGAGAATTTGAAAATTTGAAACTTCGGAAGTTTGAAAATTTGTAACTTTGAAAATTTGAAA